TTCTTCCCTCTTTGGACTTTTGTACACATATTATTATTAGTTATCCTTCTGTTTTTACAGTAAGCATCTTATGCAATATCTGTCTGTATGAGTCTCAGTTCACTCAGCGTAATGCTTTCCAGTCTCTCCTATGTAAGGTAGTTTTTTAAAAAAAAAATCATTGCTCATGCGTGCTACATAATATTCCACTGTGTGAATGTACCACAATTTTTCCAATCCATTTGTTTGTTGATGGACATTTGGGCTGTTTCTATTTTCTTGCTATTGTGAATAATGATACTGTGAACACCAGTGTACAAATCTCCATTTGTGTCTCAGTTCTAATTTCCTCAGAGTTTGTTCCTAGCAGTGGAATCGCTGCATCATATGGATTTTCTGTGTTCAGCTTTTTGAGGAAATGCCAAACTGCCTTCCACAGGCGTTGTACCATTTTACAACCCCACCAACAGTGTCTGAGAGTTCCAATCTCTCTACATCCTCTCCAAGAGTGATTGCTTCCTGTCCTGTTAAATGTTGCCACTGCTGCTAGGATGAGATGATATCATCTGTATTATTCTAAAATAGCCTGCTTCCACAGTTTGCCACATGCCCAAGGTCTACTCTTCTGCTGAATAATCATTTTAGAAAGGAGTAGCGCAAAGCTAGTTACTGTGAGGCAGAAATTAAAGATTTCCCAAAGGTCCAACTCTCTCGATCTTCTGTCCCGTCCCATCATCTGTAGCATCAGTTCTTCCTCTTCTTCTCAGCCTTTGTCTCCTGCCTTTGTCTTTGTGTTATGTAATTCACTGCAGTGTATCCCAGAAACTCACAAACCATCCGACATGTGGCAGTTTGTGGGGCGACTCGAAGGGGACAGATGCAAGATCCAGGATAAAAAGGATCAAATCATCCCAGAGTATTCTAATACACGTTTTGGTTACAGACCAAACATCCAAGGGAGCTAAGAGAGTGTGACAACTTGAAAAATACTCTCCGGTAAGGTAGAAATTGGTGATATATCCTACCCAATGCCTGGCTCAAACACAAGAGAGAGCTCTCTCCAGAATGGGATCACAGGCAAAGAAGCTTTACAGCGTCAAGGATCTCTGCAAACTTTTAAAGAATAAGGATGTCACTTTAAAGACTAAGGTGTGCATGATTCAAGCCATAATATTTTCAACTGCTTCACACACATGTGAAAATTGGACAGTGAATTAAAGAAGACTGAAGAAGAATTGACAACTTGGAATTGTGGTGCTGGAGAAGAATATAGACTATACCATGGACTGTTGAAAGAATAAACAAGTCTCCCCCAGAGGAAGTGCAGCCTGAGTGCTTCTTAGAAGAAAAAGTGTGAGAGTCCATCTCACATACGTTGGGCATACTCTCAGGAGGGGTTGTAGAATGGGACATCATACTTGGAAAGGTAAAGGGGCAGCAAGGAGGAGAAACCCCTCAACAGGACAGATTGGCACAGTGGTTGCAACAGTGGGCAACACAGTGGAGATAATGAAGATGGGGCAAGATTGCGCTTAAAAGTTGAATTTGGTAAATTTTGAAAACATACTTCCATTACCATTCAAATTCTTTAGTTGAACACTTCTATTTGAATGTTTTATAAATTGTGTTGTAGTAAAAATATATAACAAAAAAGATACCTTTTATTGAGCTATATAGATGATATAGACATCATGCAACATTTGTTAATTCAATATTTTTCATGAGCACAATTCAGTGGCATTAATTACATCCATCATGTACAACCATTGCCAATATCATTTGCTAAGTGTTTCCATCCATTTCTGTGTGTCATCCTTACATGGAAACCGTGCTAATATTCTCTGTATTCTTCCAATTTTAGTATATGTGCTGCACTCCATCCATTTTTAGGTGTGTGTTTCAGTGATGTTAATCCCATTACATTCACCACATTGTGTAGCATCAACATTAACCGTTTCAAATTAGAAAGAACAGAATATCCCTTAAGCAGTGGTGTTGTTTTGTTGTTTTTTTTTAAGAGAAGCAAAACCACTGAAGGGATGTGTGTGTGTGTGTGTGTGTGTGTGTGTGTTGAGGGGGAAGACAGGAGATGGTAGCCTGCAATTTCAAGTCCATAGATCAGACATCAGATGACAGGGTTCTTCTGACTCACTTAGCGACAGAGGCTAATGAATCAATCCAAGACCTGAAGGTCAATGGCAGGCTGCTGGCTTTTGAGGCTGACAAATCCAAGATCAGCAGCCAATATAGCAGGCCACAGACTCAAGTCCAAAGAAACCAGAGGTCAGGTAGTAAGGGCCCAAATCCGGGAGCCAGATCCAGCAAAATTCAAGAGACCCCTGCTAGAACATCCACATATTTTTAATGTAAGCCACACCCTTGAGAATGTGCATTAGATAGCTGGACAAAGACTATGGATGATAGAAGAAGAATTGATGCCTTTGTGTTATGGTATGAGAGAAGAGTTGAATACACCATGACTGCCATAAGAACAAACAGGTTCACCCTGGAGGTGGTGAAACCAGGGTGCTCCTTGGAGGCAAGGATTTTGAAGCTTCATCTGACATATTTTGGGCATGTTGCAAGGAGGGACCAGTTCTTAGAGAGAGACATTATTCTTGAAAGGATGGAGGGACAAAACAAGAGAGGAAGACCCTAGATGAGATGGATTGACTCATTGACTGGGATATTGGGGGTGGGTGTGCCAGAGACAATGAGGTTGGCTCAAGATAGAGCAAGGTTCAGAATTGTTGTACACAGGGTCACTATGAGTGGCAAGTGACTCAGTGATAAATAACAACAACAACACACCCTTTCAACTGGAACTTCCCTTTCAATTGATTGGCTGCTGTAACAGATTACATTGTATCAGATCTCATCATGAAAATAACTGTCAAACTAGAGAATCATGGGAAGCTAACTTGACATACAACCTTAACCATCTCACTCCTCCGTTTTGACTCATAATGACCCTATGTGACAGAATAGAACTGCCCCTAGTATTTTCTTGGTGGCTTAGTGGGTAAGGAGTTGTGTTGCTTGAATCCTCCAGCTGCTTCAAAGGAGAAAGATGAACTCTCTCCTCCCATGCAGTTTGCAGCCTCTGAAAACCTGCACTGAATTGGAGCTGACTCAAAGGCAGTAAATTTAGGTTGGTTTGTTTGTTGTTATTAGGTGCCATCGAGTCAAGCAGGACTCATAGCGACCCTATCAACAAAAGATCTAAACTCTGTCCTATCCTATGCCATCCTCACACTTCTTGACAAGAGCCCATTGCAGCAGTCTCCATGTTAATTCACCTGTTTCAGAGTCTTCTTCTCTGCTGACCCCCCCACCCTTCCCAGCATCATGTCCCTCTCCAAGGAATAGCCCCTCCCAGCAACATGTACAAAGTACGTGAGGTGAAGCCTCCTCAATCCTGCCTCCAAAGAGCACTCCAGCTGCACCCTCTCCAAGACATAGCTGTTCGTTCTCTTCGTTTTTCATGGAATGTTCAATGCTCTTCTTCAGCACCACAGCTCAAAGGTGTCAATTTTTCTTCTGTTTATTTTAGCACTCTTATAGGCATAGACTACCAGGTCTTTCATAGAGCTGCTGGGTGGGTTCAAATTACCAAACTTTTAGTGTGCAGCCAAGTGGTTAACCATTGTGCCACCACTGCTCTTCCTTAGATAATGGTTCTTTCATTTCCCCTCCTCCCTCAGTCCACTAAGAAGCTTTGTTGTTGTTATGTGCCATTGAGTCGCCTGCAACTCATAGCGACCATATATACAACAGCCCTAAACCCTGCTCTGTCCTGTGCCAATCTCACTGTCTCTGACACTCCTACCCCCACTACCCCAGTCACTGAACCAATCCACCTCATAGAGGGTCTTCCTCTCCTGTGCTGTACCTCCACCCTCACAAGCATGACGTCCTTCTCCAAGGACTGGTTCCTCCTTGCAACATGGCCAAAGTATGTCAGATGAAGCCTAAGAATCCTTGCCTCCAAGGAGCAGCCTGGTTTCACGCTCTCTGGGATGAACCAGTTGGTTTTCTTAGCAGTCCATGGTATATTCAATACTCTTCTCCAGCACCACAGCTCAAAGGCATCAATTCTCCTTCTGTCCTCCCTAGTCATTGTCTAGCTCTCTGATGCATAACAAGTGATTGCAAAGACCATGGCCTGTATCAGGCGTACCTTAGTCACTAGACAGATACCATTGCTCTTCAGTACTTTGGAGAGGTCCCTAACAGCAGACTTCCCCATTGCAATACGTCTTTTAATTTCCTGGCTGCTGGTGCCAAGAGTGTTGACTGTGGAGCCAAGCAAACTAAAGCTGTGAACAATCTCAATCTCTTCACCCTCCATCCTGATGCTGCCAATTGGCCCAGTGGTGAGAATCTTTGTCTTCTTCATATTGATCCTCAATCCATATTGGAGGCTGCAGTCCTTGACCTTCTGCAGCAAGCGCTTCAGGTCCTCCTCAGTTTCAGCAAGCAGGACTGTGTCATCTGCAGATTGTTGATGAATCTTCCTCCAATCCTGATGCCACACTTCTCCTCATAGAGCCCAGCCTCCCGGATAATCTGTTCTGCATACAGGTTGAAGAGGTATGGAGACAGGACACATCCCTGGTGTATACTCTTCCCAATTTTGAACCATGCAGTGTTTTCTTGCTCTGTTCTGACGACTGCCTCCTGGTCCAAGTATAGGTTTCACATTAGCACGATCAAGTATTCTGGGATTCCCATCTCTATGTATCTTCCTAATCTAGATATTTCCTGTATGCTGCACCATATGATGACATCACTCCTTTTGTGTTTTGTGATTTGAGTTTTGAGACCTAATGCACTTTGCTTGGTCAGTGAACAGTGGGTCATGGAGAGGATTGGAGACATGTCTGGGCTCATTGTCCTTACACTAGTCGGATGTGACTTCCTGGAGGCAGGATGTTTTGTCCTTCTGTCCTGTCTGCGGAGTGCTGGAGGCAGGGATAGTAGCCTAAAGGTTCATTTGTTTCTGCCTCATCCCTCTGTAGTTACGCCATAGCTGACAATGCCTACCGCATGATGTGCTCGGAGCTAAGTAACCACTTCATCCTCATTTCTGGGGAGAGTGGGGCAGGGAAAACAGAGGCCTCCAAGAAGATTCTCCAGTATCTTGCAGTGACCTGCCCTATGACCGAGTCACTCCAGATAGCTCGCGACAGACTGCTGCTCTCCAATCCAGTGCTGGAGGTAAGCATGTCATTGAGGAGGACCATTTGATGGCAGTTCAAGGGAGGTTACAAGTAAGAAGACTCCAATAAAAACTGCAAGGGCAGTGGAAGGCCTGCTGAGCCTCATCTCCACTAGCTCTACAAAGGGGAACAGCCCCCATCAACAGCATCCACAACACAAAACCAATTCCCATGAGGTCAGACATCTCCACCCCATCTCCCAACACTCCTACTCTTCTTTCTACTAATCCCAACACCAATTCCACTGCCCTGCTGGGTCTGAAATCCATTGCAATAGCTACACAGACCTCAGAAACATAGTTTTTATGGAGTTTATTGGAGAAATGAGCAAGTTACAGCTCAGGATACAATTTCTTGGTCAGGAGGACAGCTTCTGAAGTGTGCTCACAGCCCCTTCAACCTTGAAACTTCAGGCCAGTGTTACAAAGCTCTCTTAGCCCTGCCAATTATGGCATCTCTCCTTGTAGTCTGCCAGCAAGCTTGGGCAAAGGCCCCTCAGCTCTATCTCATATCAGGTCTCTGGTTCACTGCTGCACTGCTGCTGTTGGTGATGTCCTCCTGTAGCTCTTTCTGGTGCAAGAATCTCTGGCCCAGAGAATGATTATTGCATTCTGTGCTGCTGCTTGTTTGCTGATAGTGAGATTCCCAGATTTCTACCCCTGTACCTTCTCAATTGGAACCTGATGGAATAATGAAATTAATCACTCCTCTCATGGATAGACTAGTATGTCCTATTTGCATGTTCCTGCCCAACCATGTGACAACATCAAGGACAATGGCTTAGGAAAACAATAGTCTCACTATACTTCAATTACAGTCCAAATCCCATGTATCCGCTTCAGGGACAGATTTTTGCCTGAGGCAGTGCTAGGAAAGGTCCTTGCCCCTGAGCGTATGTTGCACGACTGTCATTTTGTGACTTAGGGTCTCCGCTCTTCCTTTTGCACCACACTGCTGTCACATTGCCACAGTTTCCAAGGTCTTAAGTGTCCTTTAGATCTGGTATGCTGGTGTTGTTTATTTGGCCCGATCTGATTGAACATGGCAGCCAAAATGAACACAGCATTGTCTGGGGAGTTAAGGGATCCCAACGGTGGTGTCAAAGTAAGGGTTGTTGTTGTTGTTGTTGTTGTTGTTATTGATTGCCTTCAAATCGAGCACAACTCGTAGTGACTCTATGAACAAAAGGCTTGAAGCCTTTTTATAACTATGGACATTTATCAAAGGTCATAGAGTTTCCAGAGGCATGTTGTTTAGGAAGTGGATGCCACTCCTGCTTTAAGGGTGGTGGTTGTTAAGTGCCGTAGAGTCATAGACGACCCATGTTGTTGTTGTTGTTATGTGCTGTCGAGTCGTTTGCGACTCATAACAACCCTATGTACAACAGCCCTAAACCCTGCTCTATCCTATGCCAATCACATTGTCTCTGACACACCCATCCCGATTACCCCAGTCACTGAATCAATCCATCTCATAGAGGGCCTTCCCCTCCTGCGCTGTCCCTCCACTCTACGCAGCATGATGTCCCTCTCCAAAGACCTGTCTCTCCTTACAACATGTCCAAAGTATGTCAGACGAAGCCCCAGAATCCTTGCCTCCAAGGAGTAGTCTGGTTTAACCCTCTCTAGGATGAATCTGTTTGTTTTTTTGGCAGTCCATGGTACATTCAATACTCTTCTCCAGCACCACAGCTCAAAGGCGTCAATTCTCCTTCTATCCTCCCTAGTCATTGTCCAACTCTCTGATGCATAACAAGTGATTGCAAAATCCATGGCCTGTATCAAGCGGACCTTAGTCTCCAGAGACACACTGTTGCTCTTCAGTACTTTAGAGAGGTCCCTAACAGCAGACTTTCCCATCGCAATACGTTTTTTTATTTCCTGGCTGCTGGTGCCAAGAGTGTTGACCGTGGAGCCAAACAAACTGAAGCTGTGAACAATCTCAATCTCTTCGCCATCCATCCTGATGTTACCGATTGGTCCAGTGGTAAGAATCTTTGTCTTCTTGACATTGAGCCTCAGTCCATACTGAAGGCTGCAGTCCTTGACCCTCTGCAGTAAGTGCATGAGGTCCTCCTCAGTTTCAGCAGGCAGGATTGTGTCATCTGCATAATGCAGATTGTTTATAGGTCTTCCACCAATCCTAATGCCACGTAGCGACCCTAAGAACAAAAGTCTTGAACACAAAACTTTCATCTTTTCTCTCAGTTCATAGAGTTTCCGGTATGACCTTCAAATTCAGGGTCTAAATCTAGCACAGCTATATACCAACAAATGTCAACAAGTCATCCCACTTCTTAGAGCTCCATCTGTGGAATCGATCAACTTGGGAAGCTTTGAGAATGCAACAATATAAATGTGCACATCAACAGCCAACAGAATACACAGCCTGCCTTTCACTCCTTCCTCCCTGTTTCCTCCAACATAATAAGCATGTTATCTAGGGTGATGAGTTGATGAGCACAGTAAATTGAAATGACAGTGAATAACATTTTTGTTCTGCTACCCCTCCTTTTTGGAAGCAGGAGTGGCATCCACTTCCTAAACAACATGCCTCTGGAAACTCTATGAACTTTGATAAATGATGATAGTTACAGAAAGGCCTCATGCCTTTTGTTCATAGGACTGCTATGAGTCAGACTCCACTCGACAGCAATCAACAACAAAAACCCTCCCTTTGCCCTCTCTTTTGTATTTCTAGGCTTTTGGAAATGCCAAAACACTCCGGAATGACAACTCTAGCAGATTTGGAAAATACATGGATATACAGTTTGACTTTAAGGTACATTGACGCTCCCAATGCTGGTGCATGGGCACTTGCAAATGTGCAGCCATTTCTCCTCGTCTTGAGTCATGCACATTAGCCAATGACAGTCTTCCTGGTCTGGGGTGGACAAAGATCTTTTTAAACAGAACCCAGAAAGTGCCACACATAGGGATTTCTAGATTTAACTTCACTAAAACAAAGTACTTCCCTTTATCAAAAGACGCCAGTGGAAGGCTGGCTAGATTGTTACTGCTGCATCTTTATTCTGTTTTGAAGGGCGTTCCTGTTGGTGGACACATCATCAGTTACTTGATAGAAAAGTCTCGAGTTGTCTATCAAAACCAGGGTGAGCGAAACTTCCACATCTTCTACCAGCTGCTCGAGGGGGCCGAAGAGGAGCTCCTTACTTACCTGGGACTTGAGCGAGACCCCCGGCTGTATAGATACCTCTCACAGGTTGGGAGAGCCAGCCCCTGGCTTGGGAGGGAGGGGTATGGGAGAAGGAGAGTTGCAGAGATTTTTCTACAACATTCTAGAAACTTTTCTTTATCTTTCTAAGTGTAGCCCACTTACTGATTCCTTAACACTTTTCAGAAGCAAGGTAATCTCTCTCTTTATGCTTGGGAAAGATACCATCTTGGTAAACTAAGCAATGTCTTGGCAAATAGTGTTCAACTCTGGTGGGAACTATAATTGTTGCAGTTACGCACTGTCAAGTATGAATCGACTCTTAGCTGACCCTCCAGCGGGTTTTCAGAGGTTGTAAATCCTTCTCCCATGGGGCAGTTGGTGGATTCAAACGGCATGACTTTGGGTTAGTAACCCAACTCCTAACCCACCAGGCCACCAGAGCTCCCTCTAGTGGGAACTAGAATCAGCCTCCACCAAGCTGATTGCAACTCAAAGCGACTCTCCCTCAGTTCCTGAAGCTCTAAGTCTTTCTTTCCGGGCAACCACCCATCTTTTTCCTGCAGATAAGCTGGTGGGTTTGAACCCTAAAACTAGCGATGCCACCAAAGCTCATTTTAAAATTTTTTTTAATTATTATTTTTGTGTGTACCGTCAGATTGGATCTGACTGGTACAGGAGGAGATTGCCCCTCCTTCGCCAGCAGAGCATCTGATGGATTTGAACCACATATCCCTGGGGTTGCAGTGCAGCTTCTTGTCACCAGGCCACCAGAGCTCCCCAAAAGCTCATTTTAAAAACACAAATGCGTGCACCTGAAAATTGGACAATGAACAAGGATGATAGAAGGAGGATCTATGCCTTTGAATTGTGGTGTTGGGGGTGGAGGGGGCACGGAGAAGGACTGACTATACCATGGATTGCCAAAAGAGCAAACGACTCTGTCTTGGAGGAAGTTCAACCAGGATTCTTAAAAGCAAAAAACTGTTGAAACTTCATGTCAAATGCTTTGGGCAGGAGGGGGCGAATCTTTGGGAAAATATATCATGCTGGGAAAGGTCAGCGAAAGTGAGGAAGACCCTCAATGAGATAGATTGACACAATGACAATAGCCATGGACTTGGCCTTAACTGCCATCCAAACAGAAATATGCACACCCATGTTTATCGCTGTTTTATTTACAATACCAAAGAGATAGAAGAAACCCAAGTGCCTATCAACAAACGAATAGAGAAACTATGCTGTATTCATAAAATGGAATATTATACAACACTGAAAAACAATGAACTCATAAAACATTACACAACATGGAGGACCCTGGAGCACATCACGCTGAGTGAAATATCTCAGCCACAAAATGATAAATACTGCATAGTACCATTGTTATAAAACAGGTCTGACATGGGGGGCTGAGAGGAGAATAGGATAAGAGTGGATAATGACCATTGCATTGAAACAGATGATGGAAAGAACTGTTTACATACGACAACATCCCAGAATAAGAGGTATATCATTGCAAAGAGGATTGGGGAGGGGTGGAAGGTAGGTAAATTGTGAAACAATGAATGAATATTTTCTTTAAAAAAGTGAGCTGGGTCAGGGAAAAGGGAGAGGTGGAGGTAAAATGTGCAACAATGAATGAATGAAAATTTACCTCTCTGTAAATATTAGTTAAAAACACAATTAAAATAAAATTTTATTTTAAAAAAATCCCCAAACGAACAACAGACTTGAGCATGACAGAGATTGTGAGGAAGGGGCAGGAGAGGACAAGCTTCAGATCTGTTGCCCGTAGGATCAATCTGAGTCAATGTGACAACGCATAACAATAACAAACCTTCAGAGATTCAGGTTTTGCAAGTGGAGCCTGGTATCAGGTTGATTTCAGATGCTCCCCTGGTAGTTCCAATGCTCTGTGGAGACAGAGGTGGCAGATTCAGCTGTGATGGAAACTCCCTGCTGGTCTATGTCTGCAGCCTCTGCTTCATTCCTGATTTTAGAAAGAGTTGTAAAAAGGCTTTTCCCGACCTTCCTGACTTCACAGTCACTGTGACAAAAAGAGCCAACTCTGAACTATTTCAGGAAGTCACATATGGTTAAGAGCCAATAATAATGAAAGAAGAATTTCAAACTGCACTGACGGCATTGGCAAAAAATAAGGTAAAAAAAAAAAAGAGGTCCCAAGAAAAGATGGGATCCAATTGACCTGTTGCAACTAATAGATGCAACCCGGGACGTGTTTCCTAGTCTGTGCAAAGAAATTTGGAAGACCTGGCCAAGGAACTAGAAGATATCTATAATTGTTCCCATTCCCAAGAAAGGTGATTTGATAGAATGTGGAAATGATCAAACAATATCATTAATATCACAGGCAAGCAAAATATTGCTGAAGATTATCCAAAAAATGTCTAAAACAATACATTGACAGAGAACTGCCACAAGTTAAAACTGGGTTAGATGAAGTCATGGCACTAGGGATATCATTGCTGATGACAGATGGATGTTGGCTGAAAACAGAGAATTCCAGAATTTATGTTTTATTTACTATGTAGAGACATTTGACTCTGTGGATCGTAATAAACTATAGTTAGCATTGAAGAGAGTGGGAACCCCAGAACACTTAATTATCCTCATGCAAAAGTTATATATGGACCAATAAAGCTGTTGTCTGAACAAAGCAAGGGGATACTGCTTGGATTAAAATCAAGAAAGGTTTCTCCATACCTATTCACTCTGTATGCTGAGCAAAACATTTAAGAAGCTGGGCTCTATGAAGAAAAATGTCACGTCAGGATCAAAGGAAGACTCATCAACAACCCATGTTATGTAGAGGACATAACCTTGCTTGCTAAAAACAGGGACAACTTGAACCATTTGTTGCAGAAGATTAAAGAATTCAGTCTTCAATATGAATTACTTCTCAACATCAAGAAGACAGAAATCCTCACCATTAGCCTATTAGTAGGCTAATAGGTAGTATTATGATAGATGGAGAAAAGATTGAAACTGTCAATGATTTCATCTTATTCAGATCTACAATCAGTGCTCTTGATACCAGCCATCAGGAGATTAAGAGACATATTGCATTGGGAAAGTGTGCTGTTGTAGATCTCTCCAAATTATTGGGAGCAATGATTTCAGTTTGAAGACTAAGGTGAGCCTGATTCAAGCCATGGTCTTCAATCACTTGCTGTGCAGATCTAGATAGTGAATAAGGTTGTCAGAAGAATTTATGTCTTTAAGCGATGTGTGTTGTTGGAGAAGAATACAGAATATCTTATGGACTGCAAAAAGAACAGACATGTCTTGGAGAAGGTGCAGCTTGAGTGGTCCTTAGAGGCAAGGATGGGGACGGAAAAGCTTATCTCTCATACTTGGGGCATGTTGTTAGGAGGCGCTCTTTCTTGGAAAAGGACATTGTGCTTGGAAAGGTGGAAGGTCAATATGGATTGACACAGTGACTTCAGCAATGGACTCAAGAATATCAGAGATGATGAAGATGGCACAGGATAGGACAGGATTCAGATCTGTTGTTCACAGGTTGAGTATGAGTCATACTCAACTCAATGGCACCTACCAGCAACCAAAGCCTGGTTTCTATTATGAGCACTGTTTTCTGTGAACCCACGTACTCTCTCATAGAAATGGTACAAACCATTCCCAGAAGCAATCCTAGGACCTAATGTTGCAAAACTGACCTTTAAAAATGGAATTCCACAGTACTAATTTATTTTATGCAGTTCATACTGCTCTTGTGCACTGTTGGGTCAACTCCAACTCATAGTGTCTTCATGTGACAGAGTCGAGAATCCCCGTTAGCTAGGGTGTGGTTAGGAGAGACATCATGCTTGGCAAGGTGGCGGGTTAGTGAAGGAAAAGGAAGACCCTCATGGATTGCAACAGTGACTGAATCAATGAGCTACAGTATATCGGAGATAGTAAGGATACACAGGATAGGGGAAAATCCTCTGTTCATAGGGTTGCTATGCATCATGTTCAACTCAGCAGCATCTAACAGCACCAATAATCTTTGCTGATAGGGAGCTCTGGTGGCCTAGTCTGTTGTGTATTGTGCTACTTGCTCAAAGGCCACACCACTCTGGTGGTTCGAATCCATCATCTAACTCTGATGTGGTTGACAGTGTCCTCAGTCTGATGAGGAGGGTCAGTTAGGAATTGATGACTCGATGGCAATGAGTGAGTTTAAGGACCTTTTTGCCCCGAAAGCTTCAGAATATATCTCTATCTCTATCTCTATCTCTATCTCTATCTCTATCTCTATCTCTATCTCTATATCTATACCTATATCTATCTATCTTATATATCTATCTTATATATATCTTATATATATATCTTATATCTATCTTATACATCTATCTTATATATCTATCTCTATATATCTATCTATATCTGTATCTATCTCTATATCTCTATCTCTATCTCTATCTCTATCTATATCTATATCTATCTTATCTGCTAGTGGTCTGAATTTTTTCTGGATGGCACAAGTGGTTGGCAACTAGCTCTAGATAGAAAGGCTGATGGTTTGGATCTGCCCAGGGACACATCAAAAGAGAAGCCTGATTATTACTTCCATAAAGAATTTAGCCAGCACAGCAAAGTCTAGAAGGCATTATGCTGCATAAAGTAATTCAGTCACAAATGGACAAATCCTGTATAAGACCACTACTGTAAAAGTAGGAGGATAATAACTAATAAGAGATGTATAAATGTTCAAAAGGGGAAGGGGGAAAGGAGAGAGGAGGAAAATCACTGGAAGAAGAGGTTAATGGATGAATTGGGGGGTGAAAGAATATGAAAGATGCAAAGGGGACAAAGAGATGGGGTGATAAAAGGCATAGAGCAGTTCAGTTATTGTTATGTGTCGTTGAGTCACTTGTGACTCATAGCAACTCTGTGTACAACAGCCCTATCCTGTACCAGCCTTATCGCCTCGGACATACCTACCCCCACTACCCTAGTCACTGAGTCAGTCCGTCTCATTGAAGGTCTTCCTCTCTTGTGCTGTCCCTCCACCCTCATAATGTCCCTCTCCAAGGACTGGTCCCTCCTCGCAACATGCCCAAAGTATGTCAACTGAAGCTTCAGAATCCTTGACTCCAATAAGCATACTGGTTTTACCCTCTCCAGAATGAAACTGATTATTCTTCTGGCAGTCCGTGGTATATTCAGTTGATCAGTAGTAATTATATAAAACACAATGTATTTGGGCATGTTTCTAGGAGAGGCTATTCCTTGGAGAAGGCCATCATGCTTGGAAAAGTAGAGGAATGGGGAAGGAGAAGACCCCAACCAGGTGGATTGAAACAGCGACTGCAGCAATGGGCTTGAATGTGTCAGGGCTTGTTAGATTGGCACAAGACTAGGACAGGGCTCACATCTGTTGTTCATAGGGTTGCTGTGCGTTCAGCTTGACTTGACGGCAACTAAAAACAACATGTGAATGATTATATAAAACACAGTGTTCGTGAATGAAATAAATGTATATGAATGATTGTGAGCAAACCAATTTAAAAACTCTCACATAAAAACAAAATAGCATTCAGCCAAGAATACCCTATGGAGCCATTGGGCTGTGTAATACGGAGGTCCCCAGGAGTCTCCATAACTTGACAGCAACAAGCTGGGTTTGTTTCAATGCCCAAAATTTATTTCCTGAGTGAGGAAATAAAACTTCCACTGAGATGTGTGATGAAGTCTGTATTGGTGTTTTTTTCCTGTAGTAGAATTTCTGCAGATAGTTGCTCCACGAGACAAGATTGTTTTCTTTGTTTAAACATCATCATTTCCCTACAGATTTCAGTTGCTACTATTGCTGTTGTTCGGTGCCATCAAGTCAACTACAACTCATGAGGCCCGTGAACAACAGGCCTGAACCGGGCCCTCGTCAGCACCATCCTCGCCAGCTCTGATATGCTCTGTCCCGTTGTCACATTGACTATGTCAATCTTTGTTGACTCTCTCTTTACCCAAACTTCCACCTTTCTCAACATGATCTATTTCCAAAGACTAGCACCTCCTGACCACGTGCCCAAAGTACATGAGATAAAGTTTCACCATCCTTGCTTCTACAGAGTACTCTGGTTGCAATTTCCTCCAGACTTATTAGATTTTTTTGACAGTCCATGGGACATTCAATACTCCTCCAAAACCACAATTCAAAGACATTGATTCTTCTTCTGTCTTCCTTATTCCTTGTGCAGTTTTCAGATGTAAAGGAAACAAATGAAAATTGTTGTTGTTGTTGTTATGTGCCATCGAGTCACATGCAACTCATAGTGACCCTATGTACAACAGCCCTAAACCCTGCTCTATCCCATGCCAATCACACGGCCTCTGACATACCCATCCCAATTACCCCAGTCAGTCAATCAATCCACTTCATAGAGGGTCTTTCCTCCTGCACTGTCCCTCCACCCTCTCAAGCATGATATCCCTCTCCAAGGACCGGTCTCTCCTTGCAACATGTCCAAATTATGTCAGATGAAGCCTCAGAATCCTTGCCTCCAAGGAGCAGCCTGGTTAAGCCCTCTCCAGGATGAATCTGTTTGTTTTCTTAGCAGTCCATGGTACATTCAATACTCTTTTCCAGCACCACAGCTCAAAGGCATCAAATCAGGCACACTTTTGTTTCTAAACTAACATTGTTGCTTTTAAGCATTATGCACATAATGCAACCTTGCTTGCTGAAAGTGAAGTGGCCTTGAAACACCACAGAAGATCAAAGGCTACAGCCTTTAACACCAAGAAAACAAAAATCCTCACCACTGAACTAATAGGCAACATCATGATAGATGGAGAAAAGATTAAACTCGTCAGCTGATTCTTAGTGAGAGAAATATTCTTACTAGCTACCAGAAATACAAACCAGGTTTAAAAGAGGTTGTGGCACTAGGGACATTATCGCCAATGTCAGATGGATCTTGGCAGAAAGCAGAGAGTACCAGAGGAACGTCTATCTGTGTTTCATTGACTATGCAAAGGCATTTGACTGTGTGGATCACAACAAAGTGTGGCTAACCTTGAGGAGAATGGGAATCCCAGAACATTTGATTGTGCTTGTGCAAAACCTATACTTGGACCAGGAAGCAGTCCTCAGAACAGAGCAGGGAAACACTGCATGGTTCAAAATCAGAAAGGGAGAGTGTGAGGGATGCGTCCTGGCTCCAGACCTTTTCAATCTGTATGCAGAACAGATCATTCAGAGGCTGTGCCTTATGAGGTGGAATGTGGCATCAGGACTGGAGGAAGACTCATCAACAGTCTGCGTTATGCAGATGACACAACCCTGCTTGCTGAAACTGAGGAGGACCTGAAGAACTTGCTGTAGAGGTTCAAGGACTGTATTCTTCAATATGGATTGAAGCTCAGCACCAAGAAGACAAAGATTCTCATAATTGGGCCAATTGGCAGCAACATGATGGATGGTGAAGAGACTGAGGTTGTTAAGTTACAGTTTGCTCAGCTCCACAATCAACACTCTTGGCACCAGCAGTCAAGAAATGAAAAGATGAACTGCATTAGGTAAATGTACTATTGGAGACCTCTCCAGAGTACTGAGAAGCAATGATGTCAGTCTGGAGACTAAGGTGTACCTGACAAAGGCCATGATCCTCACAATTACTTGTTATGCTTCAGAGAAATGGACAATGACTAAGGATGGCAGGAGAAGAACTGACTCCTTCAAACCGGGGTGCTGAAGAAGAGTCTTGAACATACCATGGACTGCCAGGAAAGCAAACAGGTCTGTCTTGGAGAGGGTAAAACCAAGTTTCTCCTTGGAAGGATTTTGAAGCTCCTTCTCACATACTTTGCACGTATGGCTGGGAGGGACTGATCCTCAGAGAAAGACATTATGTTCAGAAGGGTGGAGGGACAGCCAGGAGAGGAAGACCCTGGATGATTGTAACTGAGGCAATGGGAGTTAGTGTGTCAGAGTCAGTGAGACTGGCTCAGGACAGGGCAGGCTTCAGAACTGCTATACAAGGGTCACTATGACACAACAGCACATAACAACTAGCAAAAATGACTAGAAAAGCTCTTTTCAAAAACACATCAAAGGGTCCACCATGAATATGTCACTTTACAAACTTTCCAGAGCAAACAAAAGAGAAAAATCTAGTTACTGCCAAGTCCATTTTCTTCTGACCAGTAGTGACCCCTGTGCTGTTTCAGTTTTCATAGCTGAAACTTTTCAGGAGCAGATTGTCAGGCCTTCATTCAAAGGGATGGTTTTGAGCCTCCAATTTTTGCTTAGAACTCCTTTGTCAGCACAGAGTTTAAGATCAAACTTCCAAATAACTTTAGTGGAAAGAATAGCTGTTGGCAAATTGTGGTGCACTAGACCATCCAAGCAAAACCTATTTACTTGCAGCGGAGAAAATGATAATTTTGCATCTTTTGGGGTGGGGGGAAATTCAAACCACCAAAACACAGCTATTTTAATTGAGGAATGATGTGCACATCTGCCCTTAAAAAAATTGCCTATAAATGACCCAATTCTGTGTCAACAGGGCCAATATTCCAAAGAGGCATCGATCAATGACAAGAATGGCTGGAAAACTGTTTTCAATGCCTTTTCTGTCATCGATTTTACTGACAAGGACCTCGAGGTATGGACCAGCTGGGAAGGACTGCCATTTCAACCAGAGACTATGGGGAAGGGAGGGAATTGTTAGGTCTGGTAATTTTCTAGTAGGGCTGCAGGACTCAGCAAATAAGGACACAGAACACTCAAGTCCATGTGGTTTTCAGGTACCCACACCCACCACCAGCTGCGAAGTCCGTTCTCATAGTGACCGCTCCACGGAGTTTCTGAGACTGTAAATCTTCACAGGCGGAAACTCCCCGTCTTGCCCCTTATGAGTGACTGGTGGTTTGGAACCACTGACTTTTTTTTAAATTATATTTTTTTCTTTATTGTATTATTTTTTACGTGTACCGTCACATCAGATCTGACTGGTACAGGAGGAGATTGCCCCCTCCTTCTCCACCAGAGCATCTGGTGGATTTGAACTGCGTACCTCTGGGATTGCAGTGCAGTGTCTTGCTACTAGGCCACCAGAGCTCCCTTCGAACCACTGACATTTTAGGGTAGCAGTCCAACATCTTATACTTCACCACCAGGGCATCTGAATTTCAGAGAAGAAGCAGTGACTAATTAACAATTAGTTTCTAATCTAAGAATTCCCCAAATATTGCATGACGTAGACTGATACTTAAAAAAACAAAGAGAGAGCCATTGCTCAATTGGAATTCAAAAGTAATTGGAAATTCTTCCTGTATTTTATCTGACAACCTTGTTTTCCAAATGTGAGCAGATAGAAGGTTTCAGAGAATCACAGGATTTTTTTGTTTAACAAGCTAGACAAATTGTAGGATTTATATACATTTACATTTTGAATTGTGGGAAAAAGTATGTATAACATGATGGTAGCATAATTCGAGAAAGGATAGTGGAAATGGTTCAAGACCATGATTAATATAATCACTGTCACTGAGTCGTGCATGGAAAAGTTATTGACCTGGCATATGCCCAGTGATACATTTTTTATTAGCATAAAAAAGTATGTGTGTTGCGTGTGTGTATTTGTTAGGTGCTGTCTAGTTGGCACCAACTCATAGTAACCCAAGATGCATTGACACAGTCACTGCAGCAACGGGCTTGTGTATATCCGAGATGGTGAGGTTGGCTAAGCACAGGGCAAAGTGCAGATCCATTGTCCACAGGGCTACACTGAGTCATAGTTGACCCAATAGCACATAACAAGGACGACACAGGGACCCTGTGTACCACACACCTACATGCCGCTGGCTGCTGCGTCGGTGCACACTCTGCTCTGTCCGAGCTCGTGTTCGCAGCCCTATCTCAGCCCATCACATGGAGGGCCTTCGTCTTCTTCATTGACCTTCTACTCTCCAGGCATGATGTCTTCGCCTAAGGACTGGTCCCTCCCATATGCCCAGAGTATGTGAGATAATATCTCACTATCCTTGCCTCTAAGGAGCCTCAGGCTGCACTTGCTCTTTTTTTATTAATTTTTTAAAATTGTGATTTTGTTTAATATAAACTTTTTATTTTATACTGATTTGTTGTTGTTGTTATGTGCCGTCGAGTCTCCTGTGACTCACAGCGACCCTGTGTACAACAGCCCTAAACTCTGCTCTGTCCTATGCCCATCGCACTGCCTCTGACACTCCCATCCCAATTACCCCAGTCACTGAATCAATCCACCTCATAGAGGGCCTTCCTCTCCTGCGCTGTCCCTCCACTCTCCCAAGCATGATGTCCTTCTCCAAGGACCGGTCCCTCCTTACAATATGTCCAAAGTATGTTAGATGGAGCCTCAGAATCCTTGCCTCCAAGAAGCCTCCTTGGGTTAACCCTCTCTAGGATGAATGTTTGTTTTCCTAGCAGTCTATGGTACCCTCAGTACTCTTCTCCAGAACCACAGCTCAAAGGCATCAATTCTCTTTCTGTCCTCCTGGTTCATTGTCCAGCTCTCTGATGCTTAACAAGTGATTGTAAAGACCATGGCCTGTATCAGATGCACCTTAGTCTCCAGAGAGACACCATTGCTCTTCAGTACTTTGGAGAGGTCCCTAACAGCAGATTTTACTTACAAAATTTGTATACATTTTATTTTTCACACCAGATCTTTCCTATTTTAATTATTATTTTAACAAAAGGTTACATTTTCCTCCCAACCCACCCACCCCCAGTTTGCTTTTTTTAAAAAAAATGCACTCATTGTTGCATAATTTCCTCTAGCCACCACCCCAGTCCACTTTGCTATGTGGCTGCACTTTTTTAAAGCCAGATTTGTTTGGAAATGGATGGTGTTAATGGTTACATATTATGGTAAACGTAATTAATGTCACTGACTTGTACATGAAAAGAATGTTAACATGGCATGTGTTATGAGATATACATATATATTTATTTATAATATTTTAAATATATTATATACTTGCACATATCTTTCTATATATAATATTTATCATTTATAATATATTTACGTATTATACTTTATATACATTTATTACACATATAACATTTGTCATATATATCACATTTGTTATTGATATGTGTTTATAATAAATTTATTTCTAATATGTACCAGGGAGCTCTGGTGGCCTAGTGGCAAGAAGCTGCACTGCAATCCCAAAGGCAAGTGGTTCGAGGCCACCAGCTGCTCCGTGGGAGAAGGACGGACAATCTCCTCCCATGTGATTAGCTGCCTCTGAACACCTTGTCGGAGCCTCAGCTATGAGTTGGTTCCAACTCTATAGTACATAACAGCAACATCTGTATCATAGCATTTGTCATGTATCTCACTTGTCATTTGTTTATATTTATAACAAATGTATTTAGAGTCTATATTTGTAATATTTGTCATATATCTCACATTTATCATTGATATATATTTATAATATATATCATAGCATTTGTGATCTATATCATATTTGTCATTTATGTTTATCATAAATGTATTTCTAGTACATATTTCTAGATCTCCCCACATAAGCCATACCTTCCTTCTGGTGACATCATGGCATTCACAGCTCTGTGTAACGATTCCCCCAATCCATTACCAGATGTTTTCCATCCCCTTGAAGTTCAGGGCCTCTCAAGCAATACCATAATTTGTGTTCACTTCTTTTTGCCTTTTCTTTTTCACTTTGATTCTAAAACTATTATTCTTTAGAAAGCCCAGCCGAAGTAAGATGGGGTTTGTTTGGTTTTGTTTTTCGTTTTTTGTCTTTAAAATTTTTATTTTACATTGGTTTGCATATAAAATTTGTACACATTGTGTTTCATATGCATACATTGTGTTTCGCACATTTGATCTAAAACACATTCAGTTGTGTTTTACACAATCATTCCCATACATTGTGGTAATTTATTTTTTTAATTCACATTGTGTTTCTTATGATCATTACCATACATTGTGTCTTTTAAAAATGTTCTACTAGTTTATTTACAAAATTCTAATATATTGTTTTTAAGAACAAATTCTTTCCATTTCCCTCACCGTCCCCCCACCAAATTGTATACAACCCCATGATTTAGCTGTTAAGGAGCTCTGGTGATCTAGTGTCAAGAAGCTGCACCGCAGTCCCAAAGGCACGTGGTTCAAGACTGTTACTTGGTCATACTATGGGGATGTAGATGTTGTGTGATGCCAGAAGTGATGTTGTTTTTCAAACAACAGCAGCAGCGCTTATGGTATCTGACAATTAAGTAGCAGTTCAAAGCCACCAGCTGCTTCTCAGAAGAAGGAGGTCGGGCAATGTTCTGTGCTGTTTACAGCTTCTGAAAAACCTGCTGGAGTGTCAGCTATGAGTCGGCTCTGACTTGACGGCTTACACCACACTTTCATACAGTCACACTCACCCACACACACCCAGACACTCACACACTGGTGGCGATCGGGTGGGAAAGATATAATAATAGAAGTAACATTGCTGGTGGCATGAGACCTCTCTCCAGCTCCTCACTGGGGCTCTTTCTCACGTGTCTGTTAACACTTGACATGAACCAGAGGGTCTGTTTCTGGGTAGAGGGGACACTGGTTCTTGTGAACTGGGCTGGGATTCAGGGAAAGGCAGCTTCTTGGGGTGGGGGTGGGGGGCTCCTGCTCTGAAGCTATTTCTCAATTGAACGGCTGTCATCTGTTCTCCTGACCCCGGCTGCTAGCCCTCGCTGCTTTCCATTCTCCTAGAATCTCTTTGGCATTATTGCCAGTGTCCTGCACCTGGGGAATATTCATGTTAAAGAAGATGACCATGGCTGTGCCACCATCCCAGACACCCACGAGATCAAATGGATTGCTAAGGTGATGGGTCCACACTGAAAGATTCAACAGGGAGGCAGAGGAGCGGGAGGGCGCCAGATGCCCATGTCCCAAATGGCCAACACTGGCTAAACCCCAATGCTTACTGCTGAGGAGTTAATTCTGACTCTTGACAGCCCTCCACTGGGTTTCCAAGGGAGTAAATCTTCACAGGCCAGAGACTGTCTATCTTTCATCCTTAGAGCAGTTGGTGGATTCGAACCACCAATCTTCCGTTAGCAGCCCGATGCACGATGCACTGTGCTGCCAAACTCCCCGGAGGCCTGTTAGGAGGTTCAAAGCTCATAGACAGGAGAGGCAGTGGATGAAAGCTGGCGGGTGGAAAAGGCAAATGAAGTCTGTATTGAACTAACATACAGTGACAGCTCGCAGCCTAGTCTTGTCTGTAATGGCTGCTCATAGGTTGACCCTCCAGTGGGTTTTCAGAGGCTATAAGAAGTTACCTGGGAGGAGATTATGATATTTCTCCCAAGGAGCAGTTGGTGGATTTGAACCACCTTACCTCTGGGTTGGTAGTGCAACTCCTACCCACTAGGCCACCAGGGCTCGAACTCTCAGAGGTTATGGAGGGAGACTTGAGTCCCTGACTGACACTTTGACTTCTTTTTGCTCAGCTCCTGGGGGTCCACCCGCTGGTCCTTCTAAAAGCTCTCACCCACAGAAAGATCGAAGCCCAAAGGGAGGAGGTAAGGCTGAGTCTGTCAGGGTTGCCTCTCTGTCCTGCCTGCCCACTGCCTGCTGCAAACGATGGTGACACACATGGTGGTCCTTCTCAGGTGATCTGCCCGCTGACCACAGACCTCTCTGTGTACGCCCGAGACGCCATGGCAAAGGCTGTGTACGGACGGACGTTTACGTGGCTGGTCAACAAGATCAATTCCTCCCTGGTCAACAAGGTCAGCATGCGTTGGACAACTTGTTCTTACAAACTCTGGGATGTTTCATAATCAGCATCGTGATGTGTGAGAATTGGTTATCACTTTCTCACTGGCAGGGACAGTGTCTCATCACATCTGTATTTCCAGTGTCCAGCATACAGCTCATGTGTACACACGCACAGAGAGATGCATTGTGGATGATTCAACAGTGAAAGATTGTTGTTAGATGCCCTTGAATCAACTCTGATTCATGCCTTCATGTCACAGCCACACTGGCAGCCTGTCTCTAAACGTGCTGTGCCCACAGAGAAGTTTCTTATGGACAGGTAGTTGTTGTTGTTGTTATGTGCTGCCGAGTCTCCTGTGGACAGGCATTTACAGCCTCACAAAATCTGCTGGGGGGTCAGCTATGGGTGGCTCCAACTCAAAGGTAGGTACACAACAACAACCCAGGATTCTCCTGTGAGCTGCTGTTGGGGAGAGAGCTGATGTGAACTTTCTAGCCAAGTCTCAGCTATGTGGGAGTTGCAGAATTGTTTTGTTTTTCATTTTCTTTTTAGTTATTTTTATCTTAGTAAAAATATAGCAGAGTGTTTACCAACTCGGCAATTACACACACACACACACACACACACACACACACACTAACACATTGCTTGTCTTCATCACGGCTGCTACCATTGCCACCGTCCATTTCCAGATTATTCTATCAGTGCCCATAACCAATGGCTGCCTCTTCCCCCCTCCCTCCCCTCTGCCAACCACTAATAAGCTTTGGTAACTGTCCATTTGCCAGTTGTGTTGTCGCTGTGAGGTGCTGTCCAGCTGGCCTGGCTCAGAGTGATCCTACATGATAGAACATAGGGTCTCTGCCTGACCCTGTGCCGTTCTCACAGTCTCTGCTGCGCTTAAACCCACTGTTGGGGTCACTGTGTCAGTGCACCTCCTTGAGGGTCTTCCTCTCTGTCTTAGCTACTGAAGATGCTGGAGAATAGTCCTGAACACCCTGTGGACTGCCAAAAGAACAAACAAGGATGTCTCAGAGAAAGCGCAGCCAGGGAGCTGTTTAGAGGCAAGAATGGAGAATCTTTCTTTCACATCCTTTGGGTATATTATCAGAAGGGGTCAGTCCTGCGCAAAAGACATGCTTGGAAAGGTCAGGAACGAGACAGAGGAAGACCCTCAACGATACAAAGTGACACAGGCTTAACAATAGGTTAACATCGGGTTCAAATAGCTCAGGGATGATGAGGCATCAGAACAGTATGGATCCATTGTTCATAGGGTTGATTCGATGGCACTTAACAACAGTAACAGAGATACCAAGTAGATGGCCTTTGACAGATATTTATTCTCTTATACTTTGGGAGGCTAGAAATCCAAATTTGGGGTGCCCAGTATAAAGGGAAAGGTTCCCTCTCTCTCTGAAGGAGGAAAGGCCTGATATCCTTCAGTATCTGTACACGTGACGTTCCTAGAGATTTCTACCTTCCCTGTCATTTGAGAGGTTTTTCTCAGAGGCCCTGGTCCCCAAAAGACAGGCTCCGCTTCTGTCGATGAGTCCTTGATGGTGCTGAAGTTCCCCTCTCAGCTTCCATTCTTTCCCTGTCTCTCATTCACCCATTGCCATCAAATTGAAGCAGACTCATAACTGACCTTCCAGCGCATCTTCGGAAGCTGTAACTCAGACTTGGGAGAAGATTGTGTATGTGGCCGCTAGTGGATTTGAACCACCAAGGAGGAGCCACCTTTGGGTTAGGAGCACAACTCCCTACAGTAGAAGCCAAAGGTATTCCACGCCACACCCTGGGGAAACTCCCCTTTCAGCCAGCCAGCCAGCGAGGTGGGATTAGGGAGTGTCACGTTCCACCCTTTACGTTCCTCTATGTTTTGGGTTTTTTTGTATTTTAACAGAAGTTTACAGAAAACTTGGATTTCTGTTCATTCATTATTGCACAATTTTCTCACTACCCTCTCTCCTCAGTTTGCTTTTCTCTTTAAAAATAATGTTTTCAGTACTTGCTTCGGCAACACATATACTAAAATAGGAACGATACAGAGAAGATTAACAGGGCCCCTGCTCAAGGATGACATGCAAATTTGTGAAGTGTTCCATATTTTTACAAACAATGGCTAGAGAAGCTGTGGTATATCCACACAATAGAATACTATGCTGCATTGAAAAACAAGGAGCTCATGAAATATACAAAATGGGTGACCGTAGAGGACATTGTAGTATGTTGTTATGTGCTATCAAGTCACCTGTGACTCATAGCGACCCTATGTACAACAGCCCTAAACCCTGCTCTGTATGGTGCCAATCACACTGTCTCCGAAACACCCATCCCGATTACCCCAGTCACTGAATTAATCCACCTCATGGAGGGTCTTCCTCTGCTGCACTGCCCCGTCATCCTCCCAAGCATGATGTCCTTCTCCAACTGGTTCTTCCTAGCAACATGTCCAAAGTATATCAGAAGAACCTTCAGAATCCTTGCCTCCAAGGAGCAGCCTGATTTAACCCTCTCTAGGACAAACCTGTTTGTTTTCTTAACAGAGAATGGTATATTCAGTACTCCTCTCCAGCACAACAGCTCAAAGACATCAATTCTCCTTCTATCCTCCCTAGTCATTGTCCAGCTCTCTGATGCATAGCAAGTGATTGCAAAGACCATGACCTGTATCAGGCACACCTTAGTCTCCAGAGTGACACCATTGTTCTTCAGTACTTTGGAGAGGTCCCTAACAGCAGACTTTCCCATTGCAATACATGTTTTAATTTCCTGGCTGCTGATGCCAAGAGTGTTGACTGTGGAGCCAAGCAAACTAAAGCTGTTTACAATCTCAATTTCTTCACCATCCATCCGGATGCTGCCAACTGGCCCAGTGGTGAGAATCTTTGTCTTCTTGACATTGAGCCTCAATCCATACTGAAGACTTCAGTCCTTGACCTTCTGCAGCAAGTGCTTCAGGTCCTCCTCAGTTTCAGCAAGCAACTTGCTTGCTGAAACTAAGGAGGACTTTATGCTGAGTGAAATATCTCAGACACAAATGGACAAATACTGCAGGGTGCCATGGTTGTAAAATGGGACTGACATAGGAGTTCAGGGGAAACTAAGAGGGGATAGATAATGTATACTGCACTGAAACAGATAAGGAGAGAACTGTTTAGGAGGAATAGGATTAGGTATTATTGTCATGACAAGAGTCCAGAATGAAATCTGCATAGTGAAATGGACTGTGGATAGGTGGTGCGGAGGAGGATTATATAACAATAAAATATATATTTTTTCTTTTTTATTTATCTATTTTTTTATTTTTTTTTTTACTTTTCAAAGGGAAAAGCGAACTGAGGGGTAGGGGTGAACAGGGAGGAAAGTGTACAACAATGAATGAATGAAAATCCAAAATCTCTGTAAACTTTCATTAAAAGAAAAAAAGCTATCGATAATTGGTAGAGGAGCTCCAGACCTTTTGTTCATACGGTTGCTATGAGCAGTGCTTGACTCAAAGACAATCAACAACAACAACAATATTAAAAATAGTATTTAAAACAACAAAACAGAACAGTGAGGAAAGGGGTTGTGCCTTTTTCTCATGTAGGTGACCCTTAAGAGGACCTTCCCTGGGGCCAGAGCTCAGTACATGCTGGTTGAATTCAATGTCTAATGCAGGCTTCTCAGCAAAGTCCAGGCTCAAGGGAAGAAACTCTGGTGTCACTCTGGCGCGTCCTGGAGTTGGAGAGGAGAGAGTAGTGGGAACGCTTCCCAGCATGCACTTCAGCACTGCTCTACCAACATCTGGGGCTAAAAGGTAGGCCAGGGAAGACCCCCTGGGCTGAGTGCCAAAAGCAGCCATAGTGGGTCAGTCCCAGTGCCACCTATGTGGGTGTCTGAGTGGGTAAAGGAGCACGACCCAAGGGTGCAGTTCATGGGATCTCCACATATTTGGGGAATTTGCTGAAGTTTATGCAGATACCTTTATCCTATTAAGACTAATGGGAGGCATGTGCTGAACTGAGAGATATTTCATTTTCCAAATTTTCTGAAAATATGAAGAGAACCTGGAGTGTTTGCTGCAGAGGGTCAAGGACTGCAGTCTTCAATATGGATTGAGGCTCAGTATTGAGAAGACAAAGATTCTCACCACTGAACCAATTGGCAGCATCAGGGTGGATGGTGAAGAGATTGAGATTGTTCACAACTTTAGTTTACTTGGCTCCACAGTCAACATTCTTGGCACCAGCAACCAGGAAATTAAAAGATGTATTTCAATGGGAAAGTCTGCTGTTAGGGACCTCTCTAAAATACTGAAGAGCAATGGTGTCTCTCTGGAGACTAAGGCGCACCTGATATAGGCCATGGTCTTTGCAATCACTTGTTATGCATCAGAAAGCTGGACAATGACTAGGGATGATGGAAGGAGAATTGATGCCTTTGAGCTGTGGTGCTGGAGAAGAGTATTGAGGATACCATGGACTGCTAGGAAAACAGATTCATCCTGGAGAGAGAGGGTTAAACCGGGCTGCTTCTTGGAGGAAAGGATTCTGAGGCTTCGTCTGACACACTTTGGACATGTTGTAAGGAAAGACTGATCCCTGGAGAAGGACATCGTGCTTGGGAGGGTGGAGGGACAGCGCAGGAGGGGAAGGTCCTCTATGAGGTGGATTGATTCAGTGACTGTGGTAATCCGGATGGGTGTATCGGAGACAGTGTGATTGGCACAGGACAGAGAAGAGTTTAGGGCTATGGTCACTATGAGTAGCAAGATACTTGATGGCACATAACAACAACAACAACAACATATGTGGGGAAGGAAAACATATGCACTGTTCATGGCTGGAATTTTAAGAACACACACCAAAGGGAACTGGACACTTCATTAACCTCTGGAGCCAAGTCCCTTCTTTACCACACAGCCGAGCAGTCACTGGCCATTAAACAGGAGTGTGTGGCTCTTTGGGGTCATTGGTCAACTCTGACCAGGCATCCACCACAATGAAGCCCACCCAACGGTGGCCATCCTCACAGTCTTCCTGTGCTGGAGCCCACAATGGCAGCCTCTGAGTCGATCCATTGTGGTCATGGTGGTGGTTGCGGACAATCAAGTCTGAACCGACCCATAGCTGACCCTCCAGTGAGTTTTCAGTCATTTAATCACACAGGAAGAGATTTCCCATCCTTCTTCCATGGAGTAGTTGGTGGATTCGAACCACGTGCCTTTGGGATTGCAGTGCAGCTTCTGTCTCAAGGTCACCAGCGCTCCATCTTGTTGGTGGTCTTCCTTTCCCCCCTCTATCTGTCCGAGCATGATGTCGTAACTAGTG